TGAACACAGAACATGTCAGTCAGGAGCATGCACCTTCCTGACTACCGTGCCACCTCAGTCCTGACAGGTATGGAGTTACTTTTACTGCCAGCCTCATTAGACACTCAGTCTCCACCAGCCCAAAGGCTCAAATCTAAACCTCACCCCAACTGTCTGTGTGCCAGGATGCCAGGGGTCTTACAGTCATACATTCACAAAGCACAGAGCTGTGGTGGTTGATGATCTGCTGTTACTCATCTGGCTTTATGTTGTGTGTTTAATGTACTGTACAGTAGAGGTAGAGAGATGTGATGGGTAAGCATGGAAGATATGTATTTGTGTTCTATTTTTTATATCTTTATTGCCTCATGCTCTTCTTTTCTTTGCCCTTGGCCACATTTTATTAGAGTCTGCCAGTGTAATTTAGCAGACAGTATGACTTTGGCATCAGTAGAGTTGCACCACATTTACCACACAGCTCATAAGTTCTATTGCAAAAGCTCCAATGTTCTGCTTCATCTCCTGTCCCAGGTGAGTTTTCTGCTTCTCAGCTGATGTATATTTCTATTAACTGATATTTGATGTTCACAGCCACATTATGGTGATTCAGCTCCTATCCAATGACAAAAAAGTGGGTCACCTCAAGTTTAATCGTCTGTGCCTTTTTGGAAAAAGACGGTTTTTGGTTCAAATTAAAGTCATGCTTAGATTAAGGTTTGGTCAGGGCTGGGGTTAGAAATGTAATGGTTATGGTTTAGCTGTGGGTACCCTCTAGGTACTTAATGTAACTGAACCCAGTGGGGGTATTTAACCACTGATCCTTATCAGCTTCCTACAGTGTGAGTGCCTACACTGACTTAGAGATGAATCAAAGTTTTACTGCGTAGCCTGTGGTGCTCACTGTCCTGAATGGTGACGGGTTCAAACAAGGGTCAGCCATGCAGAGATGACAGATTTTAACTGTAAAAGCAATTGTGTTTTCCTTGTAGATGGAAGAATTTCTGGCTCTTCAACACACTCATTTGTTTTGAGCACTGACCTGGATGGTCACAAGGTGCTTTCGGACCAGAGGAACTTTTTCATAGCTCTTAGAACTATTGGAAAAGTGTGCTTTTTGTGTGTTCATACTGCAGGGACTGAGAATGACAATCGTTCCTAGAGCACAGTTTTAAGGGACTATTTTTAGCTCTTGCTTCAGGGTAGGTACTCTCCAAGCACAGTAGGAACCATGAGTGCCATACACGCATGTTGACTGCAGCCCTGCTAACTGCCATTAAAAAAAAAAGAAAGTCAGCTGTGCAAACAATAGTGATCAACAACCATCACCATTGAGATAGGGAGCTGCAGTCTGCCAATGGAAGCCTCTGCAGAGGGTTAGTGGCTCTTTATATAATCAATGTTAGCAACATATAAAGAAAATACTGGTGATGTAATAATGGAATGTGTTAACGGCTGCGAGGTTGTTGGCTAATCGCTAACAGTCAGTCAACTTATGTCACTTCAGTGTTCCTTCTGATGGTGTGAATGCCACTGGAAAAACAGCCCATGAAGAGCCCCCCAGTGGGGTAGTCTGTAGAACTAAGTCCCTAGAACTGTTTGGTCCGAAAGCACCTAAAGGCTCTCAAAGTTCAGAGGGTTGTGGTCTCAAAGTGGCTTAAGGCCACTGCCCTTTGAATAATTGTTGGCAAAGATGTTACATCTGTGGCTTTTGATGCACAGTGAGAGACATGATCATAAAGAAAGAATATGATGTGAGGGGAAACTGATAAATACTGGGAAAGACTAAAGGCTCAAGCTTTGAGAGCAACAAGTTATCTGCAGAGCCGGGTGGATATCATCAGGCTGAGCTCTGAATGTTGCTGCCATATATCACCTCTTGGCCTGCACTTCACCACAGACCTCTGCTTATGTATTCAGGGAAGGAATTTTCCATGACCGCAGTCATCTTTTCTTCTTATTCACCGTTTAGCACACACACATGACATTAGAAATGACATTAGAAGACTGTTGTGGTTGTTATTTCTGATGAATCCTTATTTTATTTATACCAGATGACAGGGTGACTAAATAAACACTGGATGACAGTTTGCCCATTCAAAGCCTTACTCCAGGAATGTAGTGTTTGTCTGGACTTTGTCTTCAAATATATCAGATTTCTGTCTCTTAGCAGCCTCTCATGCGATGTTAAGTTTGATAAATTTCCTTGTTAACACACAGTTAACAAACTCATAACTTCACCATTCTTCTCTAAATATACTTTTCCTGCTTTTATTAGTTTGTTCTTCTTTTTCTTTTCTTTAATTTCCATCTCTAAGCATTTTCCTCTGTCTTTACCCTATTGTATCCATACTGGTTCCAACATGTACTCAACCTGCCCCACTGGTAATGTTCAAAGGTTTAACAATGTCATAATGGTGTTTCCACTCATCTCTGGAGCCAACGCTCACAGATTAAATTAGAATCCTAGTGGTTCCCCAGGTCTAGTGTGTGTCTGATTGTCATTTATAATATTTTCTTTCCTATTGTGATCTGCAAACTATCCAAATGTAAAAAAATAAAAATACAACTCAACATTCAGCTTTACTGTCTTCGTGTGAATTCATCCACAGCTTCTGTTGTTTCTTCTCAGGCCCACTTGCGCTCTGTGGATGTGAAAATCTTGCAGCAGTTGCTGGCTGTCCATGAGGGCATCGAGGCAGTGAAATGGCTGCTGGAGGAACGCAGCACCCTAACCAGCCGGTGCAGCAGCCTCACTAGCAGCCAGTACAGCCTGGGCGAGGGCCCGGACACATCCTGGAGAGGCTCCTGGAGCAGCCTGCAGGACCCAAACGATAAGCTGGATGACATCTCCATTGGCAGCTACCTGGACACCCTGGCAGATGACATGGATGAGTACTGCCCCTCCAGCTCTGAGTCTGTCATCTGCTCTAACACACCACTGGTTTCAGAGGCTAGTGTAGGAGGTCGGACAGGGAGAGGCCCTGGGGCCACAGTTACAGCCGCTGGGACAGGAGCTGAGGTGGTGATGAAGCCTAGCAGTGGGGTTAAAAGTGGTGTTCGAGCTGGGGCAAATGAAAATGAAGTTGCGGCTGGAAATGGAACAGAGGTGAAAGGTGGACCAGGCACTGGGGTTACCAGTGGTGGAACTGGGATTGTTGCAAAACCAGCAGCTCCTGTCAACTCTTCTCCAGTTAAGTCTGAGGTCCCTAAGAAAGATGCTCTGGTCTGGACCAAAACTGGACAGACGAGTAAGCAAAGCCCCATTTCTAAGGACAAACCCCAGATGCAATCTATCAAAGTTAACGGTGTTCTGGAGAAACCAACCACGCAAACAGGCAGCCCAACCCACTCCAGCCTCAGCGAGAAACTGGGAACCAGCCAGAGCCCAAAACACAAACCTTACAAAAACGGCAAGATTGACTTAGATACTTGCACAATGAATGGTAAAATGCATCGGGAGTACGATACGCACTGGCGATGGGTGCAGTCGCAGGAAGATGTGACATTTTTGTAAGAAGGCTAATAACAGAGAGGATAAAAGCAGCTATTGACCATTCTGTCCAACATCAAACACCAGATCCCTAAAGGTTAGAAGGGTGGACTGCTGTTGTGACATGCACATAGTGTGGCTTTCCTTGCTGAAAGACACTGGGTTTGAAAAACAAAGGAACATTTTTGTTCTATTGATCCTTTCTGTGACTGCACTAGCTTGCTATAAAACACTGATGTCAGTAATAAGGAGGATGCATATAACAGGGTTTTGACCACATTTAGCCAAACTGGGCTGCCTCACACAAGCTTAGGAAAATCTGTTTTAAAATCCTGTCAGTTTTTCTCAGGATCTTTCTTGACATTCCTTAATTTTAGTCAATTTTTAAATGTTATTTTAGTTTATTTCATTAAAAACAAAGCACAGAGGCATTACTTTCTCCTATTCATCCAGAATAGTAATTCCCACAGAGTACATTAGTTTCATATTTAGTTTTGTGGGTCATCTACAACACTAGTTTCTTTATTATTATCTTTTTTTCTTACTTTTTGGTTTGTCAAACACTTAGCTATGAGCCATTCAACCCCAGAACTTTAATTTGTCTTCCTAGATTGTTTAATTTGAAGGCATTGTAGAAGAAAAAAGGAAGAGTATCCAATATTTCACCAAAAAAGTATAATAATATATGATATAACAACAGGTATTTTACTTTCCTTTAATTTTTTTTGTGACACCTGATCTCGAGGCACTGGGTTAGAAACCACTGCTCTATAATAAGCATCACTTTGCACTGATACAACCGATTGTACTCCATTTAAGTTAGCAGTAATAGTATGAGTCCAAAGTTTTCCCCTTATGAACCTCACAGAAATGACATGCATTTTATAGACCTTTATTTCTGGGCATTAAAACTGAACAGTTCCAATGGTCATAGAGAGTATTAGACGATAAACTATTAACAACAAGTGAAATATAATTAATTAAACACCTAGGTGATAAAATGTTAAGCTAACATTTGTGTGAGTCAGTATAGAAGACAAAGCAGTGAGGTTTGTATGTTTCTCTCACTGAAAATCAATATACCCACTGTTAGCGTTTACCTCTTTGTGGAGCTAATACCCTCAGTGCATAACCAACTATCTGCAATTTTCTATAGTCATCGAATTGCAGTACAGCTACTCTGTCCATCGGGTACTAGTTGTGACTGGTTGTAGGCTAATCCTGAATATGACTAAATATTTTATGTTTTTTAAAATTTATGGTAATTTATGTTATTTTTTGAAAGCAGATTTTGTGCCTGGTTAGTGTAAACCTTAACTACATATGCCTGTACTTTCCTTCCTGAGATGTCTGCACTGTTGTTACGGTAATCCAAGTTTTTTTCCACTGGCTTTGGCTTTTATTATTTTTGTCTCTTCCTGGCCTTTGCTTGCATGTACAGATGGCTACACCAACAGCCTGTGTGCTCTTTAGTGATGAGTGGTGAATGCGTAACGTAGGCTGGGTCGACACTGCATGCTCTGTGCTGAGAGCTTTATTAGTTGCACTGAGAGTGTGGAAGACACAATCAGAAGAAAAGCAATATGTGTTTAACCCTTTCCACTGGCTTACATGAACATAAACAAATAAAAACTAATAATAATATTGGTTCTTCAGGAGTTGACAAGACTACTGACAAGGAGGGGATGGGTATGTGTGTGTCTGAGCACAGGCGGCCAGTCAGGTTCAGATAAGAATAGACCATATGTTTTCAAGTGTATTTCAGTGTTACGACACCTCCTACAACTCTGCAGTAAATAATATTAATGTCAAAGGAATAGTGAAACATGGTCCCTAAACAAGGGGAACAGATTAAATAATCAGTCCACGTCCCTAAAAGCTCCTTGTAAAAATTTGGCCTACCCTTTCTTCTAATTTTACATGACCTTTCCGAAAAAGCTGACATTTAAAGTGAATTTCTTCCTTTGTCTAGTATCTTAGGTCACTTCTGTACCACTCTCATGTTAATGAAGGGTTCAGATTGTTAATGTTTTACTTGAACTACAACTTTAGGGCTGAGAAACTTTTGAAACTTCTTCAAAACTAGGTACTGCTACCGAAACGAATAAAGGTTTCTGATGCAATATAGTGACATTTCAGTCAGTACAAGAAAAGGTTTAATGCACAGCCCCAGTTCCTTTGGATCCTAAATGCACAAGTAGATCATTTCATGCCTTGTTGCAAATACTTTTTACCTTTTTTTTTGAGACACCATGTTAACCGTTTGCTAAGTCCTTTTACTCTGGTTTATGTTGCTACATGTATGGTTTGTGTTCTTACACTGCACACATGCAGTTTACAGATAAAACATCTTAGTAATTTTTGAATCAATGGGTCCGTGACTTTAGACAGAGGTAGAAATGAGGTGCAGGTTTCTCATTTCTAGCTAATGACTTTATTTAGCTGTGTGAAATGACAGCTGTCCCTGGCAGATTTTAAACCAACATTAACGTTATGAGTTGGATAAAAATGCCAGCTGAATTTTTAATTATTCAGCTGACTTGGTTTAAAGAAGAGTCTTTTTAAAGGATCTTAAATATACCCTTGAATGCTAAATATATGATTATCATGCAAGCAGAATGAGGCTAACGTTAGGGTGCCTGGTGGACAAACCCACTGTGACGTCAGCCATTGATTTTCTAAAGAGAATTTTGAAGCTCAGGTCTGGTAGTGCTTCACTCCGCCTGCTACAGCAAAGATGTGAAGCATGAGTTTCATTTCTCACCGTCAGGGGTTCACTAGGTAAGTACAAGTAGCTGTAGTGGAAAGGTAGCTGGGCATACAAGGATTAATGTTAAATGTTTAATCCAGCCTTACATTTCTACACTTATTGCTCCTTTAACCCCTTTTATCGCTTCAATATGAGGAGAAGGGCTTAGCAAACAGTCAATTAATAGATAATGTCCATGTAAAAAAGTTAACTGCTTCTTAACTGCACTGCTTGCATTCATATAATGCAGCTTGTAATAGTGTGTCATGTTTAGACAGTCCATCTTATTTCACTTTCTGCTATGTTTCACTGTCTCTATAGGCAGCTACAGTAAAATGGGAAACATCTCCATTTGTTTGAGCCACCTCCTCCTGCCTTTCTTTGCATCCTACTTTCATTAACCACACTGGTTTGATGGAAATGTTCAGTCCGTGCCAACACACACATCATGCACACACAATGCCCTCTCACTGGAGACAGCACCATAAAGCCAGCACTGCAGAAACAGGCTAGTCTTGGAGACATGCACGGAAAGCTGAGCTAAGCTGGACCTTGAACACTTAGATGAGTTGGAACCATTTTAAAATCCCCCTTTTCCCTTTCTCATTATAAAAAAAGCACCTACCCATCTCTGGATATGTATTTGAGCTATGGAAATATAGGCATGAAATCGTTTGAAACCTTCTTCCCTTTTGGACATATGTCTTGGCTATAAAGCATTACGACAAGCCAAGGAGACCGTCTGCTCTGCTAGTTTATTTTTTTCTTTCTAAATTAGCAGTCATATTGTAGAAATGCAAGGAACAAACCTGTAAAACACATTTCATGATCCTATAATGTGCTTTTTGGGAGATATATTGTAGGCCTAATAAACCATCTTGGGCTACAATGTTTCCACTGAGCACATCCAGTCTAAAACTAGAATATGAACAGTGTTTTAAATGTCTCTCCTTGAGAGAGATTTAATGTCTGTTGACAGCTCAAAGTAGTTGCTAGGAGGAATCACTTGTGGCCTGATTGTTGTGAAGGACAAAGATGATAACTTGTTTGTGTATGTGTAATATCTATCAAGCATGTGGAAAATACCTTTCAGTCAAAGCTGGAACTAAAATATCTCCTAGCTTTTCAGAATTTTTATAACGCTGCAGGTTTCCTCCCTAAACCCCCGTGCTATTCTTTAATGATGTCCCGGACTTATCTTAATACGTGGTGTTTAGCTTGGCTTCAGGTGCCTGGCTCCCTCCAGCTATTTTGGGCACAACATAAACAGCATGATTACATACTGTAGACGAGTGGATACCACATTGTTGCCATGACAATGCAGCTCTGGTGGAGGCATGAAACAATGTTTAGTGAAGTGCCAGTAGCACTGACAGTACTGGTACTGACTGATGGCAGGTGAGGTGATAGCTTATTACCAAGCGAGAAACCCAAAAGCACTGATTTATGGCTAAATAACATTTTCTCGAGCTACATGATCACCAAGATCAATGTGCTCCTTCATAATCTTGCTGTCCAAAATTTGTTATTGATGCCTTTTTAGCTGATCAATAAGCATTAATAAACAATCTATAAAGCCTTTAGTTGCAATGTATAAACATTTAATTGGTGCTTTGTTGTTGACCCCATTTTCATTATAATCTGTTAAGCACAATCAAGAAAATTCAATGCCCACTGCAATAGCTATTATATAAAAAGCATAATGATAAGCGAACCTGAATCACTATGGCTGCTGCAAAAAGCATTAATTCAGGAGAGAGAAAGTTAAATATGTGCAAAACAGTCACAGTCTTTCTTGCCAAAAAATGGTTACTGTGCTTTCTCCCTCTCAGTACAATATTTAATTTCCTAATATAATTATTAGGAAATTAAATGTTTTACTTCTCTGAAACTAACAAAGAGCCAATGTTGTGTTTTCTTCTGATGTAATAAAATAAAAAAATGTTATAGAAATTGTAGTTTTGAGTCATGAAGAGGCAGAAGCCGGCCAAAATAAACACAAGTCAACCATTCAGTGGCATCTTCAGACGATACGGTATGTTATGAAGAATAACAGGAAATATTATTATCATATTAGGCATTCAGTATTTTGGGCCAGTGCATGAAATCACTGTACACTATATAAACAGCAGTCAGTACCCATATCATTTCCTTTTTCTTACCCTCCTCACTTCTTTATTCAGCTTTAGTGCACAACCTTGTCACCCTCTCTATTGGCAATCTGAAATGTTGCCACGAGTATTGGCTATTTTGGCAATTTTTGCTGAAAAGCTGAAAAACAGACTGGTTGTGTATCCCTGTAGACAGAGTACAGGGATACACAATGAGGTGAGTGATGCAGCTTGCAGCTAACAGGAAGCCACCACTCCGGCGTCCTGCTGCTTTCTTCCTTCTTCTTACACATACAAACGCACAAACAAGCATAGTTCATCCCAGGAGTGCTATGGATCTCTAGGTACCTGACAGCTCCTGAAAGCAAGCATTAAGCATTTCCTTTCCTTCAGTCTTATTTATATTTTACCCTTGTGTGTGTATGTGTGTGTGCTGCTAGTTCCAACTGTTCAAAGATATGGAAGTGAATTGAAATGAACCCCACTGAATACACAATGGGCTCTGAACCAGGTCCAAAACCTTTTTTTTTAGTGGAAATGTTCAACAAATAACTGATTATGTTCAGTGATGTGTAGAATTATATTATGCAGTATGTAAATTATATAAGCTTATTCAATGATTAAAGATATTTTAAATGTTTTTGCTTGCATTTATTTATCAACTAGGAGGTCACAGTAACTCTGCTGATCAACACATATTGAGCAGTTTGACCCTCTGATTCTTTAGTTCAGGGAAATGCTGACAACAGATATTTCCCATGAGAGAAAGCAAATAAGGAATTCAAAGCCAAAACATCTCCTCTATCTCCTGATCAGCAGCTGTTTTTCTCTCTCCTGACTCCTTAATGCAAACTACTCTGAGTGCTTTCAGGGAAGCTTTTGTAGATTCCCAATCAATACTTGGCCCACAAAGGTTCATCAATGCCGCTCCATTAGCACTCAGAGCAACTCAATGGCCATTTCCCAAAACAACTTTAAAGATGTTACAGTTTGAAAATAGAGGAAGTATCACTGTCATTCACAAAGCAGGTAACTGAAAGACAGTGTATGGGTATAGGGGAGTGAATAACTCAGATATGGAAGAATACAGTACAACAGGGCCATGGGTTAAGTTTAGCTCCAGTGGTATTTGATCGTGAAGTGCTTGTCAAATCTGCTGATATCACCCAGCGTGCATATTTAATGAGTGCACAAAAGTCCAGTGCTCGTCATGTCTCCTGTTCCCCTAGTTGTACAGCTCGGCAATATTAAAGTTTGTGTTCCAAAAAGGATGGCCAGTATCATGATAGTCAGGTAATCTGACAATGACCTCTGAGCCTCCTTTGTCTGCTGGACATGTTCAGACTGGGCCCAGTGGTGAAATGCTGAAGGGATTATGAGGACAGTGGGGAGTGATTGAGCCACGTGCTCTCTGCAGATCTGAACATCTGCTGGTTGGGTTAACAGACTGAGGTGATGACAGCAGGATGAGTGGGTGAATAGGTGGTAAGTGGATGGGTGTGATAGTCAGGGCACCCAGATGTCAGCTAAAATGTGGATTTGAAGCTCAATCAAGAAGAGTAGTTTCATGCCTTCTCCTTCTAATTTATGTTTTCAAGTGAACCAGCACTGCCCATTTAATCGGTCTGATTTCACCACAAGCTCTTTACCAGTTATCTTGTTGCTGTCAGCTGCTGTTTCATATGCAGCCCACTCCCACCACTCCTCCTTCAAAATTCATCACAGGAAGCAAAGTTTTACTCCAGGTCCAAACTGGATCAAAATTTTTATGTGTGCAACTCTCCACACTGAATTAGGTGAACTGGGAAACAATACATGCATCAGAACCAATGAATATCTAAAAATAACTGAATAAATATAAGCTACACTTGAGAGTTTCCACATTACCACGAAAATAAAGGCCTTGATTCCTTAAAACTCTAGAGTGCCATAACTGTGTGACAGCGCTGTTGAGATGATGAACTGCTATGTTTTAATGCTTGCTGGTGTCAGTGTCAGCCACTGATTTTCACTGTCCTGGAGACAGTGGTTTTGTCTGGTAAAGCACAGCTCTGGTAATTGAAGCAGACTGAGCTGGTGTTGATGCCTGTGTCAGCCAAGACTTTCAGTTTACAGCCAGCAACCACAAAAAGTCACAAGACCAGCTAAGCAGAATGGAGAACGCCGCTTTTTAACTTGCAGTTAATCCACTCATTATGTAAATGCCACTGCTTCAACCTGCATTTTATTCAGAGCCCTGGCAGGGTATTTTTATTTCCATTTGAGCATGTATTTTCCACAGAGGGTGGCAATTGAAGGGAGCACATGCAAACAATGTGGGGAGGTTGTAAAAGCACAGTGAAACAGTGAGAAAGAGGAAGGGTGGGTGGAGGACGCCAGTGATACAAAAACCCGGAGGTTGGGGGGGTGGAGAAAATATATTAAAAAAACATTTTGTGAAATATTCTTATTTGCTTTCTTGCTGAGTGTCAAGCCAGCAATTATCTTAGCTTAGCATAGTGACTGGAAGCAGGTAGAAACAGCTAGCATGCATTGAGGAAGTCACTGTGCCAAGAAACAGCTCCATCATGTAATTTCCCAAACATCAACTTATTGTTTGTGTACTGACTAAACAGTATAATGTAACTTTTTTGAGAGGTGTTGGGAGACAGAAACAGACCTGCCAACTCCCCCTGCTTTCAGTCTTCAGTACTGTTGTGAGGTTTACTTGGCTGGTTTAAATTTATGTTAAGACTTTTCAGATTTATGCCCAGTTTAAATCTTTTTTAGAAAAATAATCAAAAAAGTAATAGGTTATTAAAATAGTTAAATTACTTACAACGTTTTAACAGGGCATCTAGTAATCAGTAGCCTATTACATTTTGAGAGTAATCTTCCCAACACTGAATATCTGTATTCTCATACTGTAGCTTCATGTTATTTATCCATTATCTTTACCTCCCCCTCACATTAGCAACTACTTAGCCCCGCTAGAAGTTTGTTAGGACGTTCCCAGACAGTGGAATGTGCACAGCTGTCCCACGAGCTGGTTGCTACTGTTGAGTGTTTTTACTCCAGAGGTCCCCAGGATCTATGGGACTCTGAGGGAAACAAACAAAGGGGCAGAAACAGGCTGTGGCGTTCCCACCAAGTGACGTAAGCCAACTAAGGTCAAGGTCAGCAGAAGCCAGGCTTTTTGGGAACTGTTGTTGAGAGTTTCCAATGGCTGCCCAAACATTTTGTGGTAAAGTAAATCACAATGTGAGGGATGTAACCATCTGTTTTGTGTTAGCAGGACTGAGGGTGCAGAAGTGCACGCTTTTGTGCATGTGTGTTTCTCAGCAGGAGCTCCCGGACCCAACATACTCTGCAGGTTGTTATCACTGAGGTCATTTTCTTTTTGCTGTGTGCAATGAAACTGAATCCATTACTATGAAAAAAACAAACACATTTGCAGGCAGATGCCACTAGTGTCAGCAAACTGAAAAGAAAAGAGACTGATGTAGCAAAATAAGGGGAAAAAAAATCTGATATGAAGCTGAAGGTTATTATCTTTGAAGACTGAATGAAATATTGATCTTGTAACCCCCTGGCCACAGAGTCAAGATGCTTGAAATGAATTCTTTTTCCCTTTGAAGGTCCCTTATACAGTCACAATTACTTTGAGGTCCTCAGACTGTCTAATCAAACAGGCCTGCTCAAAACATTCCAGAGTATTTGTCATCTTTATTTCAGTACAAGAAAATGAACCTCAAACTTAATTATGGTTTGGTTAGAAACACAGAAGGGTGTGATACAGAAATTAATATGTACATTTTCACCATCTTATCAAACTCTAATTATGCTACTACTAAATGGTTTTGTGTTGCAAACTAAGTTAAATCCATACATGATGGGAAAATTCAACACTGATCCAACACTTTACCTTTTTTTGTACTAAGACAAAAGGAAGGAGTTTCTCCAGGCTTTAATACTTTTATCTGACATGACCATGCCTATGAGTAAAAGCAATCATGACTACAGTGAAACTACTCTTACATGGCAGTGCAGGCCTCTGAGGGCAGTAGAGTGATGATGTCCTCCTCTAATACATTACAGTAAATACGTACAACACGCCAACTGTACTGCTGACACAGCTCATGAATAATAAATCACACAAACATAAACACACATATGATCTCTATTTGTCCACACAACACATTACAAAGATCCATATCTCCACTTAACTGTATACCACTCTGTCCTGTGTCGTGCTCTCAGTACCTGTGACATTTATGAGTCAAATCAAGTGTAAAAACACTCAAGTAATTGTCTAAAACAGCTGGATATGTTCAGAGAGAAGGTAGGTTGTCAGCCTCTTAGCTTAAAATCTACTTTTGATGTTCGCAGATCAAAAGAGTATTTCCAGAGGGGGGGAGTTAGAACATAGGGAACGAGTGCACAGAAGCCAGGGGTGTTGCCATGCCTCATGCCTTGGTGGACCCCAAACCAATTAGGGCTTAATTGAGTGTCAGAGTGAAAGGGGTCCATTCAGCTAAGCCTCTTTCACTCTGTTAGCCAGAGACAAGCATGCTTTGTGACACACATACTGACCGAACCAGAGGCATTTTGTTCATCCGACCCACTTACACTTACAGATGAGGCTGGCAAAAAACTTGCCCCAGGTTGCTTCAAACACTCATATGCATCTCACGTTTTTTTGTCCCCTAAACAAGTAGACAAATGGGCTTTACCATGCATATGATTAGGTTACTGATTTATGCCCTCTACTGTATATATGTGGGGTAATGGTTCTTTTCATCTCTGCAAGAACAGATCAGAATTGATACTGACATGTTCTTTGATGCATCTTTCAATAACAGCAGCATGAAAGCTCAGGTGGCCTAGTTGTTCTGTGTCCAAAAAACATCAAACTAAAATGGTGAAAGGCTGAGTGAGGTAACGTGATGGTCTTTCTGGACTGAACATAACTACAGAAAGTGGGCTAGTTAACTGCACTCAGGTTATTCTTGTTGTTCAAAACCATTCATGCTTGGAGCATCACACATCTTAGTCACAAATTCAGCTGTTGTTAAATGATGAAAATGTTTATTGAACAAAGGAATGAGGGGCTGCTCCTTAAAGGGGTGCTCCAGCAATTTTAAACACCAACAATACCAAACTGGACCAGACCTTAAAATTCTTAATCTTACCCATATTTTCTATAGATCTGTCATCTGGTTTGGAATACAAAAAGCTCTCGACTACTCATTACGGTAGCATCACTAGAAAATTTATGCTCTAAAACAAAACACTGCCAGGTGCCTGGTGAGATAAATCATGCAACAGGCATCAAATAGTTCACATATTTACAACGCTGACTGAGAGCAATGCAGGTGAGAGCTCAATATGCATATCTTCCTAAATCTTCTCAGAGGCTTCCAGGACAGAAAGGGCCCCAAGGGAGGGTCCCAGGGGTCAGCGCAGCTTCGTTCTGCATCCTTTTTTATTTACTCCCACTCTCTGCCTTGCTGTTTGCTCTACTCTGTTCCACCTGCAGATACTTCTGCCACATTTGCTCATTACAGCACCTTTTCACTTTGGCTTCTTTATACCCGTATTTTGCATGCATTGCTTTCTGTCTTCCTCTCCTCATGAATGTTGATGACATCAATTTCCCTGCAGCAGAGCTGCAGCTAAGCTAAGATTACAAATGATAGGGAGCGAGAGGCTTTATGTTCCCAGAAAACCAGAATCTATCCGACTAACAGTGGTACCTGGCAACCAAAACAAGTTTTTCTCCCTGTTTACTAAAAGACAGAGCACAGCCAATGCACTGTGCACATGCAGCTTTAAACCAGCAGATTTTTCTCATTTCCTCCATGTTCACGGAGTTTTATGTGAACTTGCCACAGTCTGACCTTTACCCCAGATGTTAAGGCCTTCAAAGCCAACATGGATAAACATTAGAAGCTAAAGCCCTTCACAACTGCTGAACGAATTAATGCCAGGCGATCAGTGAGGGATTTACAATGTCAAGCTTCTAAATCTTTCTGCTGATTCCCATTAGCTGTGTTGATGGTACCAACCAGAGCATGAGCAGCGATATCTGAACACAAACACACACACACAAACTTGAGTTTTAAGTCAGTTTGTTCACTGATGACAGGACTGATAAGACAAATGCACTGTGCAGAACTCACCACGGAATGTAAGAATTTGTAGAAAGGTAACAGTAGTTTTTCATAAACAAGGTTTTTGGAGCATCAGTGGATGAAAAATATTGACTTCTATTTTTAATCCACAGTGTGATGTCAGTCCATCTGATTTTGTTTACACACATTCACAGATTCTAACCACTGTGTTTTGTGGCTTAAGTCAATTATACTTACAATTTATTTTGCCATTTTAATCCGATGTGGTAGGCATAATCTGGCCGGTGGCTAACCACTAGAAGAGAATCACAGCTACTTTTCAGAAATAGTTCTCAGAAGAGTATGAGTCTGGAGTAAATTTACTGTGATTTATTGAACATTAATGTTCTGGATGTTTGAATAGGCCACCGGTTGCAAACAGTTTTGTCACATCAACTTAAAAAGTGATAAGCAATGTTGTGTTTACAGCATGTTCCAGCTGCGCCCCCAAGTGGTCAAAATGGAATTATTGCAGGTTTACCAGTATGTTTGCTTACCACTTTCAGATTCAGGCTATATAGTTTTACATTTTGTAATTATATTTGAAACAAGAGCAGACACTTGTTTCCATTTGGTGTGAAAATCAAACATTGGATTCTTGAAACATGCTTACATGTTGTGTATTCTATCACAGTGAACATGCAGTAAGTCTGCATTATTCAGAATTTCTGTCAGTGCCACATTATCTGAAATGTCTACACTAACCTCACAACAGTAACTTAAATTTAACCTACTGTGGACTATTGTCATATTATTATGGAAGTCACCTTAAAGTAGTAGCTCTTTCAGTACAGGTATAATCCTGAGCTCCCAAATGCCCTGTATTATGACCATAAACGTGTTATAACTTCTGGGATGTTTTTTCTATTACACATCTGAACCAAACATGGTAGCAAGCCTCAATGATTTTAGACCTCTCTGTTCTGAATGCAGCACCACTCCACACCATCATGTCCTTCTATGGCAAATACAAAAGTCAAAACAGAGAGGGCCTTTAAGGATACAGCCTCCCTGGCACCACTGAACTAAGCAGCCCACTGAGCTCCATTAGTGGTGTTTATTGGTACATCCCAAGTCTCTTATAAACACCAACATTTCCCTCACTTGAGTCCTTTCCTTGTGTCTTACTCTATTAGATGTGAGGAAAATTGAAGTATATATGCATAATCATGCATCAGTTATGTGACTCACCCTCTTTAAACTGCAGTAATATTCTGTCACCTGGAGGCTGCAGGAAGCAAATGCATTAGAATAACATCTCCAATAGACATGTATATGTAGTATATGGTACTTTTAGTTAGGTGGCAAATATGAAAAACGGAGAAGGGTCCAAACACATGTTGTCTCTTCAGTAATGTTTGCTGTGGTCTCATGAGCTTAAGTTTAATTTCTCAGCAGTTTTTGTACTGTAGATATCACCTAAATTCCACTAGAATCCATTGTAAACTATCTTCAAGCATGTCTGTGTTATGAATGCAACTTCCACAACAATTATTCTATTGTATATTTTTACGTTCAAACTTTCAAAACTGCCCGGTTTATTTTTAAAGCCAGAGAGAGAGAGAGACGCTGACTGACTATCCTATAAAGTCAGAGGACCACTTCGCATTAATTACGGCTTAGTTGATGCATCAGTTATATAAAAATAATAAAACACCAGTGCCTGATGTTTGCTCTTTTGAAGAAACCAGACACACTCACAATAAATACTTTATTTTCACCATGAAAAACAAATTAAAGATCTTCATAATTTCTGTCAACCATGTTTTGTTTTCGTGTCTGTCTTTTTCCTCATTTCAAACGTACATTCTCTTGTCTTTTATTTACACTGGATAGCAGGCGTTTACCTTAAAGGCCACATACTGTAACAAAGTCTAAATACATTACAGCACAAAGTACAAAAAGGCATTCTTTGGGTTAGCAGGTGAGTTAGTTCATGCAGATGTTGATGTGCAAGCTACCAGTGGATGCAGTCAGTTCTACGCCTCCAAATCACCTGCAGTTTACTCACCAGCTACAGCCGTTTTCAACATGTTCTTTTTTTTAGTTAAACTAGTAGCTCTGAAGCGACATCTCATCTTTGTATCCAGCAGAGAATGAAAGACATGTTTGGTGGGTGCAGATGAGTGAATGCAGGCATTTTCGCATACCTTTTGTATATGCATTTAATGTACATACATTTGATAAATATACTGTGTGTATAGGCCTGCTTCCCCCGTTGCTCCCTTCCTATTTAGACAGTCTGAATGCGGCTCTCTGTGAGCATTAACTTTACATTCCTCCACTCATTTTCTCAGCATACAGTATGTTCCTGCATCAGCCACCCCTACTGCACAGTTGCAGAGGAGTGTGGCACAGTACAATCAGGGTTTTAAAGCCCCATAAAGAAAGAAAGAAAAGCCTGTAAATGAGGCTTGTGCCCTCGTTATGTCTTTTCCCACAGAACACAATAGCAGCATTGATCAGTGGCAATTTGCAATCACACATAAGTCAAGGTATTTTTATATTTTCCAGCACCACACCTCACTGTGTCTGAAGGAACAGATCGGTGTTAATTCTGACACCTGAATTTGATTTCGTTTTAGGCTTTTGACAAAAATTGATATTAGTTTTAGTCAAATTTTAGACTTTTGATTTTTGTTGGTCTGGTTTTAGTCAGTAAAAACAAAATACATTTTAGTCTAGTTTTAGTCAGTCTTACACTGCATTTTTACCATGGTTACACGTGCTGCTCTCATCTGTTGTGAGGTTTTATTCATGCGGTGTCGCTCTGCTCGGCAGAAGTTGGACTCACTCTCATTTGTACTAAACCCTTCTTCACTGGGTTCAGCTTGAGGGATGACACTAAATCTCTGGATAATATTAAAACAGTGAGATCTCTGCTGTGAACATTTAGAAATGGTTTATGGTTGACTGCCCATATTAATCCTGGAACTGACTGATAGCAACACAAAAGATATCTGACTGATAGGAACGTTAATGTTACATATACATATACCCTTTCATATGGGGTGCTGCTGCATTTTCCTAGTGTTTCCCAGAGGCTTTTGTGCGTAATTTTCTAGATAGATAGTAAATAAATATGATTCATAAACCAAAAGACAGAATGTACTGAATGTACATTTTGTACATTCAGTAAATAACTTTTTATTTAATTGTACTTTCTTTTTCATCCTGAAAAACAGGTGAATGAATGAATATTTTTCATCATAGTTTTTGACAGAAACACCCCCCCCCCCCCCCCCCGGTAAATGCAAAACCATGGCGCAGTCACACAACACAATAGATTTAATGGAGTCTGTGTGAGGGTCAAAGCTGGGGTTTGCTCTCTTGTAGTTTCTTTGTGCATGGAACAGTTCTGAACTGAGGCAGGTACAGCTGGGACAAGCCACATATCGGCACCGACAGCAGCTCTGTGGGCTCGCTCAAACCCTCAGGGCTGAGCAAAGGGTGTAACTCCACATGACAGTCCTCTCTGTTCAAAGCTACATTTTTAAGCAGCTCAGTTTTTGTGTCCTCTTCTCTCTGATCCTTCTCCTCCTCACTCTCCTCATCCTCCTCTGGATAGTCCACGCCTAGATAATATAAGTCTTTCTCTTCTCTCACCTCTGCTTTGGTTTCATGTTCTGATGTTTCGGAAAGCTCCTCCACAGAGTTGTAGGAGCACGAGTGTCGCGGGTCCTCCATCTCACCACCTCGGCAGCTGTCCAGCTCCCACAGGCCCTCGGGGAAAGATCCAGAAATGTCAGAGTTGTTGGCTGAGAAGTTACCCTCATCGCTGGAGCTGCTGCCACTACCATCCTTATAGTGGCGATGAATGGGCTGCTGCTCCTGCTTTGGATGAGAGAGCAGAACGGTAGCGTATGCTACTGAAGACTGGGAAGAGGTGTCAGTGCTGCCTGGGGGCTGGTCTGCTGAAGGATTAGCTGGCTGGAACTCATCTATCTTTGGGTGTGGACTGGGTAAAGCATCGAGGTTAAGGGCAAAGGAAGGAGCTCCACCCAGGAGCACCTCGCTGTCCATGAACTGGGTTTGGTCGACCTCTGAGTCAAACCCTAGAGGAAGGCAGACAGCTAAAGCAGTGGCAGGATCAGGGGTCAGAGACACAAGAGGGGTTTGGACCAAGGCTGTAGTCAAAGCTGAGAGGTCAGCTTTGTCTGCTATAACAACTTCGGAGATGTTCTCAGAGGGCAGCAGCAGCGGCCAGGCTGGCAGGCCTTCTGAAGGCCGGAGCAAGCAGTCCAGTGTGTCTACCTAGAAAGAGATGCAAAAACAGATGTAAAGCGCATAAAATTACCATTAGTCTTCAGATAATGAGCCGATATATAAGGACTAAATACAAAGTGGGACATCACAGACATTGGAAAAATGGTGTTAGCATTGTAAACTACCCATATAATAGCCTACAGGTGTCTACATACTGTATGTATCTTGTACATTGCTGGATGACAGGTTAGACAACTCTGACCTTTCATATCATCTAAATATGAAAATGAAAACCACTCGGATGACAGCATTCATAGTGCACTGTACAGGAGTTCAGTCCCTTCAGTACCTCAACATCGCAAAACCACAACGTGAGGCAGAAGACTGGTGCTGCAGTGGAGGTTATTTTTCAGTATAAGTAGCCTAAATTAATTTAATTAAAATAAAAGGTGCTATTTCAGTTTCTCTATTGGTGCTCAAAAAACAGCAAAACAAAAACTGTTGATGGCAAATCAGTCTTTATTTTACCTTTTTAAAGTCTAGTCCTTTAGCCCAGGAGCACTTGTTTGGATTGGGAACCTCCTTCCACACAACCTTTTTCATCCTGAAAATGAAATGCAGCACATATGTAGATCTGCTTTTACCATCGAATCACTGTTTCACTGCTCTCTTGCCTGTCTTCTCCCATCATCTTACGTCAAGTGTAATGTCACACTGCTAACTTTTCATGGTCACTGTCTCTGATCTCTAAATTAGACTGAACCCAGAAACCTTCATTTTTCAACTCTTAAAGCTTAAAAAAAATCCGTGTACACTGATGCTGTGGAAATGAGACAAAGAACAAGATTACATGTGAAAAATGTGCATGTCAACAGTAAAGTTTCTTTTGCAAGATAAAATATTTCTGCAGTAGTATTAAAAACACTAAAAGCTATGAATGGGATCAGCTTTACATTGTAGGGTTGTGGGTGCGGCAAAGTATGCAACCTTCCTGATTGCAAAACATACAAATTAAATTTATGTGACTGTAAATTTCAGTGTAATTTCTAATTTAATGGATTTTTATTTGAATTCCATCTCATTGAAGAGATGAAGCCTTTTACTGAACAGGAGCTCTTACTGGTTTTGTGAAAGGACCAGTGTGACAAACAGGATGATTGAAAGGAAGGAGATGATCATCAGCATCATGTAGGCTGCAGGGTCTCCTCTGGTGGCTGTAGCAGGTGTAAAATACACATCACACCTACAGTAATAATGCAGTGAGAGCAGACCAACACTTTGATCATGAGTTACAAGAGAACAGAGTACATAAATACTCCTGAACATACCAATAGTGTAAACCGGCTCCCCTTCTCCCTCAGCAAACACGGGGTACAAGTAGAAGGCATATTCCTCAGAACCAAAGAAATCACCTGTCCTCATACATCAAAACAGTTACAAGGTAGGTAGGCTGAGTTGAATTTTATAGAAACAAACTCTTAACAGTCACAGTGAGAAATAAAATAACAGCATAGGAGAGCATGTTACCTCTTAGATAGATGGAATAGTCAGTATATGGAAGCCTGGCCCATGTTTCTCCACTCTGGCCTTTGTGATGATTAGAGTCCTGCTGCCTCTGTGGCAACCACTGGACCACCATGAATAGGGGCACAGAGCTGTTGTCCAGTAGGCTCCAGGACAGAGATACACAGGTGTTGTTGATAACCAGCACATGGAACGAACGCACACAGCGCCCTATAAACAGGAAAGGACGGAGGCAAGGCAGAGGTTCAACAAAAAAAACCCAAGGTAAAATTGGGTAAACTTTACCCAAGGAAAATTTTTTTAGTAAGTCTACTAGAATGATTAACAGAATTCCTCTGAGGTGTTCCCTCACTTGATGGTTCGCTGTGGAAAATAGTGTCTAACGCATCAGTTATGTGGAAGTTTACACATCCAACAGATATACTGTCAAGCCTCATTAGCCTTGTTATATTTCTGTACACCTAATAAATCTACAATATTCAGTTCATCAGCGGCAGGGGAGCTATCAGGCTCATTAGCAGTTAAATGGTTCACCAATCTGTCTCCTGTTTGGTAGTGGACAGGTAGGATAAAGTGGGACTGTAGAGCTACAGTAGCTGCTGTGGCTAAAAATAGTGCTGAAGAGAGCAGAGAGACAGTGCTGGAAAACCAAAACACTCAGGTGACAAATTAAAGGGTAAAAAACAGAATAAATTAATGCAGAAATATAACAACTGCAAATGCTTCCACACGAAGAACAACAGGTCCCTGACTGGTTTGCTGAGTATAAAAATGATGTGAATTGTTTACTGTGACCCTGTAATGTCAACATCAGTTGTTTGGCCAATTTATTGTCGTGCTAATTTAACAGCTAATAGCAGCGAAAACACACATTCCCAGAATACAAACGAGAAAATGCAGAACAAACAATGACTTCACGGAAAAGCATTTTGAATTGCCCAGTTAAACAAAAAATAGCTTTCTCTGAATTATGACTAATAAGAGTGATGTTCCACACAAACATCTCTATATGTTATACTGAGTACTATCATTAAAAATAAAGCTGGTTACGTCTGTTGGAGTGATTCTAATAGTGCACTAACACTAATGGCAGGACGACCTCATCAGGACTTTTATGGCTCCCCAGGAACACAGTGTAATAATTAAATGAGTGGCTTTACTGCCCCAAGCTTTGACGTAATTTTGTCTGTCATGGCACAGCAGAAGGAAACTGGCCATGGAGGTATATTACAAGACAAGACAAGTTTGTTTACAAATGGATGTGTTCTTCAGCAGTTTTGTTTCTAGTGGACTCACTGCCTTATTGTGCATCTGTGAAAGTCTGGGGAACTGTTTGCCATTGAGTTTAACCTTGCTTTTGTAGACCTGTGCATTTTTTTTACAATGGAACTTTTCAAGTCTTGTGACTGGGACATAACCAAATTTATAATTGTTTTGTGGCATATGTATGTGTTGTATTCGTATTTGGACACACTTGTTTCCTTGTTTATTACAATTCAAAAGATGCACTTTATGAATCATTTTAGATCGACTTCTGTTTAATACACAGCTAATGATTATTGATCTAAATTGGTAAATATTTTTTCGCACTCATTTCATCTTTAAAATTGTCCATAAATAATGGTGCTTCTTTACTCAAAGATAAAGAAGCATCAAACTTTCACTTTTGAGCAAATGTGTTAAATTCTTAACAACTCAATCAGCTCAGTATAATCACACTGACACTGTATTTAGATTGGTTCTGCACTACCAATAAAGTAAAATAATAATGATAATGAATTGAATGAAACTTAATTGATACTAACAGTGCAGGCCACAGTGGTGTGGACAAAACCACTAACTATCATGCGCTAACTGCTGAAAAATGTCATGGCGTGAGTGATTTCCGAATCTTCCTTTTTGATTCCTGGCTCACTCACGTCTGGGCTGTCTCTCCAGCGTCATGTTGATGTTGTTAGCGGAGCTTCCCAGACTGTTGTAGGCCTCCACTGTCACTGTGTGGGAACCCTGGTTCCACTCGAAGCTGTAGGATGACACAAGTTCAATCTCCTCCCTTGTCACAGTCCCACTCGAGGTCTGGTGGTGGACTACAAATCCATCCACGCAGTACAAGTCCGCTGATATTGGGAGATGCTGGAAAGCAAAGCATGGCATCAATCAGAATTAACTTTTAGATTATATTATATGTTTAATATTTTCATTTGTGTACCTCAAACAGCAGAGTCACATTAGTCTGGTTTCTGTATGGATCATCTTGAAGAATCCTCCAGAAATCAGGGCCACGCTCAGGAGCTGAGGACAAGACAAGTATGTCACATGACATCATTTACAGTACCTCTGTCTTTCTCTTCGTGATGGAGGTGGTGTTTGTGCACCATTTCCATTAGAGCTAAAATCAGAAGGCCAGATGTTATTTTAAATGGTTACTGCTTTCTGAAATGTTGTTCAGGAGTGAAATTAATGGTGTTTTTCTACCTCTGCTGTTTTGTACTGTTGAGTAGACAGAGTCACTCCAGTCGCTCCAGTAACCGGTGCCGCTGGTGTGCATGCAGCGCACTTGCACCACATACACATGGCACATATCCGGCACAACTATCTCCGCCCACGGGATCCGCACTGGACTCTGGACCTGCACGCATGAAACTTTTCTCAGTGAATTAAACAGATCTTTGGGAAACAATAAATATTATTAATTGAAAAGATCTGATCCATGAAGATCATATCTCTTTTATTTATCTAGCCATTCTACCCAAAGAAAGATGAAATTATTTTCCCATGCTTCACATAGTTTTCTAGTGAATGTTGGTAAGACGAGATTATTTATAGTGGAATGTTTTTAATCAGAGGAAAGGAACAGAGTCATGCAGGCTTGTATCAGCTCATGTCAAACTGACAAGCTACTGTAATTCCATTTCAAAGTATCCTCAGTCATTTTAGATTTTGATTAACTTCATTCCTGTTCCTCTTACCCTTGTCAGAATGATAGGTTTCTTAATTTAAGGTCACCCTAGTCATGTTTTCAGAATAAAATATGAAACAAATGAACAGTAGAGAGTTGGAAGTACTCTGTGGCAAGCATCCATCTTTCAGTTACAAATCCTTCTATGTTTGCAATCAACATTGAGAAGTCAGACCCAACATTTAATTTCTTCATTTTTTTGAACACACAGCAGAATAAACATTGTTTTGGAAGCAAGGTCTCCTGGTGGCAAGTCAAATGTTCAGAGGTCACATCTCTCTTGTTTTGTTGTTGTTGAATTTTCTTGCCGTTCTCGACAGCTTAGTCCTGCTTGGCCTGGAGCTGCTGCTGATTACATGCAAATTGATATTTAGGTAATATTTAGAATAACAGGTTTCACAGAAAGGTCAGCAATCCATAGTACCAGGCCAAACTTTCAGACAAAACCTGTGGTGGTTACGCTAACAGACAAGCTCACCTTCCACTCTGGTTGAGGTCTGACAGCAGATGGTGAATAGTAACGAAACTGACACTGCAGCCCCTCGACCGGTAGAGATGGGGGCTCCCAAGTAATCATCAGGACACCAGCGCTCCGGCTCACTGCCTTCACACTAGTGGGTGCGTGAGGTTTCACTGCAGGGGAAGAAGACCAACAGTGTTTGTCTCACAAAACTTTCACACATTTTTATGATGATGATGTCTGATAAACACAAGGTGTGGCAGCTGTTGTAGAACATCTGATTCACATGATCACAGGTAACTGGTTACTGAAACACATTCCATTTAAATAATCCAGATTCTCTAGAATATCTCAGCTAAACAGGAGAAAATTTACAGTCTATTTTTTAAATACTTCATCAGGCTTTTATTTTTAAAACATGCAACATGCAAAGGGTCTTTCATAACAGGTCACAACAATTAGCAGTTCACTTTTGATTGACCAGAAAGTATTCTATCTGTAGCAGTTCAAAAAGAAGCGGTAATGTATAATATTTGTTGTTTAATTCTTAGTGACTGAATCCGTGCCTTGTGAGTGACTGAAATATTATAAAAGAGCTGAGACATGAGCTTTGTGCAGAAAGGCATTTTGCTGATACAAGCCTGGAGGGGTTGTTGAATCCAAGTTTCTGTAGCTCTCTGTTCTGTGTAGTTGTGATATGGTGCACACGAGAATCCGTGTTGCTCACCGTGATCTATGGGTGACAGATAGATGGGTTTGGATCTGATGGGACCCAGCCTGGAAGGCACCTCCAGCCACAGCCTGTAGCAGTTCATCCTGAGAGGCTGGATGGTGCAGGACTTCTGTCTAGATCGAACCTGAAGACAAGCAGGTCCCATCTCCCCCACTTCCTCACCTGCTCTCTCCCTCTCCTCCATCACATCACAAGGCAGGTCAGCCCACCTGGCATACAAAATACATCGAGGGTCATTCCTCTTCCTTTTCTCTCCATTTTACACAACCTCATCAGTATAGCTGCTAACAGTATAATATGTCAGATTCCTTTGTAATGTTCCAAGAAGGACAGGGACAGTGCCTGAGGACTGGCAAACTTGGGTGCTGTTCCCATTTTTAAAAAGCGGGACTGGAGAGATTGCTCCAATCATTGGGGTATCACAGATGTCGAACCTCAGATTCAGGAAGAACAATGCGGATTCCATCATGGTCTTGTAATAGTGGACCAACACTTTACTCTTGCAAGATTACTGGAGGGATCTTCTGAGTTTGCACATCCAGTCTACATGTGCTTTTTTTGGACTTGAAGAAGGCCTATGACAGGGTCCCTCATGGGATCTTGTGGGGAGTATGGGGTACCAGGGTTGTTGGTTTGAGCCATCTGTTCCTTGTATAACTGGAGTGAGAGTTGTGTCTGCATACTTGGCAAGAAGTCAAGTATGTTCCCAGTTAGTGTTGGCCTTCGTCAGAGGTGTCCCATGTCACCGATCCTGTGTGTGTATGTGTGTATGTGTGTGTATATATATATATATATATATACACTTTGTTTTTATAATGCACATTCCTTTTTCTTGTTCTCTCAGTCTTATCTTGTTTACTTGTCTACATTGAAAATTGCACACGCACATTGACAGCCACTGTACCAGAGTCAAATTCCTCATGTGTTCAACACACCTGGCCAATAAATTTGATTCTGATTCTGATCAGTTTCAGAGGGATGTGCTCGTGTGACCATTTCTGTAACCTTCTGAAACTGATAACTGACCCACTTCACGCTGTGACTGGCCAGCTGTGTGAAAGTGAGACAGGAGCCAGGGTTTGAATACCTCTCCCCTTTTTTGCCTATTCTTGACACAACTATGTGTGGCATTATTCACGAGAACAACTGAGTGCAATACCTGCAATATAATGTCAGTGAATGTGAAAACTGGGATTGTGCAAACTATGTCAAAGTTGTACCAGGAAGTTAGTTGGACTGTTTGTACATTTGACTTTGTTTTCTAATGAAAACCTGCTAATCCAGAGATGTTATTTACAACCTGTATGACCTGCTTGTGGTTCATGTCCCATTGGACTTCCCAGATCTCATCAATTAATAATTAATCTGGTGAGTACAATGCTATGATTACTAATATAAATAATAGCTAAACCTATGAACATAAGACTCCAGCTGCATTAAACTGGGATTATACTTACAATTAAAGGGCTAGACATACTTTGTGTATACCCTCTTGCATAGGCAGACTATGGATGTGCATGCGTTCCTATTCATACTTCAGATCGAGGGTCTGCCTTCTGGCAGAGTACGCTGATGGTTTCCAAGCACTGTGGTGCATTTTGCTATGTGGACCAATTGCACAAACACAAACTTTTGGCCTGCACATGGAGATAGAATTCAAGAGGAGTAATAAAACATAGGCAAGAAGTGAAATTCATTTGCCAAAAGCGCTCTGCAGTGAGTAACAAGAGCTATAAAACAAACATTATGTCATTCTGTAGTTTTGGGAGAGAGACTCTATTGTTCTGAGGTCAGAAGTACTGATAATATTGACTTGTAGTTTTCTGTTCAAAAAAACTTCCTGGTATCACTTCACACTGTGCAGGGCTGGACACAAGTATTTCCAGGGAGTGTTCAGTACAGTGTGTTCAGTTCAGAGTGTTGATCTAACATTTTATGAACAATGCCACAACTTGAAAAGGTATTCAGATCCGCTTTACCTGAAGAAACAAAAACCGTACATTGCATTCTTACCTGGATCGAAATGTGGGTTTAGTCCACTGGGTACTCTTCCAGCTGCAGTCCATAGCATCAATATCACCATTGGTTTCACAGTTTATGTCAATGGAAGCCCCTGAACATGAAGCAGAGAGATATTCAGGTTTAGGGACAATAAAAACAACCTTCACCCACAATAGCTTCTGTGTGTTGTACTGTCACATGTCATCACACTTTCCTGTTTTTAAAAGGAAAGTAGACTTTGAGTGCTTTCACTACAGCATCCATTCGTTAAACAGTAAATAAACTGTCTTTCTTCCTTTGTGTAACCTGGGCAAAAATACTATGTATTACAGTTAAACATCATTAGAAGGTTTGTTGCTTTTGAGCAATGGTTACCATAAATAAGTTGATTTCATAAGATAAATAAGTTAAAAGCTTTATGGGGACAAGCAGGTCCCATCTCCCCCACTTCCTCACCTGCTCTCTCCCTCTCCTCCATCACATCACAAGGCAGGTCAGCCCACCTGGCATACAAAATACATCGAGGGTCATTCCTCTTCCTTTTCTCTCCATTTTACACAACCTCATCAGTATAGCTGCTAACAGTATAATATGTCAGATTCCTTTGTAATGTTCCAAGAAGGACAGGGACAGTGCCTGAGGACTGGCAAACTTGGGTGCTGTTCCCATTTTTAAAAAGCGGGACTGGAGAGATTGCTCCAATCATTGGGGTATCACAGATGTCGAACCTCAGATTCAGGAAGAACAATGCGGATTCCATCATGGTCTTGTAATAGTGGACCAACACTTTACTCTTGCAAGATTACTGGAGGGATCTTCTGAGTTTGCACATCCAGTCTACATGTGCTTTTTTTGGACTTGAAGAAGGCCTATGACAGGGTCCCTCATGGGATCTTGTGGGGAGTATGGGGTACCAGGGTTGTTGGTTTGAGCCATCTGTTCCTTGTATAACTGGAGTGAGAGTTGTGTCTGCATACTTGGCAAGAAGTCAAGTATGTTCCCAGTTAGTGTTGGCCTTCGTCAGAGGTGTCCCATGTCACCGATCCTGTGTGTGTATGTGTGTATGTGTGTGTATATATATATATATATATATACACTTTGTTTTTATAATGCACATTCCTTTTTCTTGTTCTCTCAGTCTTATCTTGTTTACTTGTCTACATTGAAAATTGCACACGCACATTGACAGCCACTGTACCAGAGTCAAATTCCTCATGTGTTCAACACACCTGGCCAATAAATTTGATTCTGATTCTGATCAGTTTCAGAGGGATGTGCTCGTGTGACCATTTCTGTAACCTTCTGAAACTGATAACTGACCCACTTCACGCTGTGACTGGCCAGCTGTGTGAAAGTGAGACAGGAGCCAGGGTTTGAATACCTCTCCCCTTTTTTGCCTATTCTTGACACAACTATGTGTGGCATTATTCACGAGAACAACTGAGTGCAATACCTGCAATATAATGTCAGTGAATGTGAAAACTGGGATTGTGCAAACTATGTCAAAGTTGTACCAGGAAGTTAGTTGGACTGTTTGTACATTTGACTTTGTTTTCTAATGAAAACCTGCTAATCCAGAGATGTTATTTACAACCTGTATGACCTGCTTGTGGTTCATGTCCCATTGGACTTCCCAGATCTCATCAATTAATAATTAATCTGGTGAGTACAATGCTATGATTACTAATATAAATAATAGCTAAACCTATGAACATAAGACTCCAGCTGCATTAAACTGGGATTATACTTACAATTAAAGGGCTAGACATACTTTGTGTATACCCTCTTGCATAGGCAGACTATGGATGTGCATGCGTTCCTATTCATACTTCAGATCGAGGGTCTGCCTTCTGGCAGAGTACGCTGATGGTTTCCAAGCACTGTGGTGCATTTTGCTATGTGGACCAATTGCACAAACACAAACTTTTGGCCTGCACATGGAGATAGAATTCAAGAGGAGTAATAAAACATAGGCAAGAAGTGAAATTCATTTGCCAAAAGCGCTCTGCAGTGAGTAACAAGAGCTATAAAACAAACATTATGTCATTCTGTAGTTTTGGGAGAGAGACTCTATTGTTCTGAGGTCAGAAGTACTGATAATATTGACTTGTAGTTTTCTGTTCAAAAAAACTTCCTGGTATCACTTCACACTGTGCAGGGCTGGACACAAGTATTTCCAGGGAGTGTTCAGTACAGTGTGTTCAGTTCAGAGTGTTGATCTAACATTTTATGAACAATGCCACAACTTGAAAAGGTATTCAGATCCGCTTTACCTGAAGAAACAAAAACCGTACATTACATTCTTACCTGGATCGAAATGTGGGTTTAGTCCACTGGGTACTCTTCCAGCTGCAGTCCATAGCATCAATATCACCATTGGTTTCACAGTTTATGTCAATGGAAGCCCCTGAACATGAAGCAGAGAGATATTCAGGTTTAGGGACAATAAAAACAACCTTCACCCACAATAGCTTCTGTGTGTTGTACTGTCACATGTCATCACACTTTCCTGTTTTTAAAAGGAAAGTAGACTTTGAGTGCTTTCACTACAGCATCCATTCGTTAAACAGTAAATAAACTGTCTTTCTTCCTTTGTGTAACCTGGGCAAAAATACTATGTATTACAGTTAAACATCATTAGAAGGTTTGTTGCTTTTGAGCAATGGTTACCATAAATAAGTTGATTTCATAAGATAAATAAGTTAAAAGCTTTATGGGGATTTATTGCATGTTATTTTAAAGGTTCAAGGAAGTGTGGTGTGTAAAATATCATCATTGGTCATCCATTGGTAAAGGTAGTGACACCCAGGGAAAGGGAAGAAGAAGAAAAAAGGAGAGGAGGGAGGGAATGAGAGACGAAAAGGTTAGTATGTGGACTGTATCTTAGATTGTCAATTTAAGGTTCTACTATAAGATATTTGTCCTACAAGTCTGCAGTACATGACTGGATGTTCTTCTGCATGGAGTTGTCTTGCTGTTGTGTAGTGTTATCATGTCTAGCCTCGTAGCATACCTAGCTAACTTGTTAGCATTCGTTAGCTAAATGAGTGTTGGTATCGGTAGTATAGTTAACTCGGCTTACTCCCAAGACTGGATTTATCTTTTCCGACCTGGAATCAGAGACAGTGCTACACAAGTGACCAGTTGGATCGTACAACAGAGCCCACTACTCCAGACTTTCCCACTACTGCTTGCACCTGGACCTGAGTGCCTGTGACTACTACGCCATTGGAGGGCCATTGGGACCCTTTTGCCATTTCTTGTGGACACATGGAGGAGGTAATGCTTCAGTCTCTGGACTACGAACTACTAAGTAAGGTACCGTCTTTTATTTGGCTCTTATGAGTGAAACGGCTGCTTAATTTTTGGCCTCAGCGCACCTGAGTGTCCATCAGGCCTGCAACAGGGTTAAATCTCAATGTATATACCGGCTGGTGGAGAGAGAGTGTGGTGTGTGGGCCCACTACATTGGTGTGTTTATTTTGAAATATTGACATGTGTGTCTTACAGGAAAAAGGGTCAGACATAGTTAAAGGGGATTGCTGTAGTTTATGGTTTACCCTGATTTTTTGTTGAGTAAATTGGGAAACTTTAACTCTAATATGTGTTTGGTTATTGTATACAGTACTCATAGGACCTAAGGGCATATAATGTAGAGAGGTTTATTACTGACTTAAGATTCATCAGTTACAGTTACTGTGAGTTAATCGAACTCAGGGCCCTTACCTTATACAGAGGGTATAGGTGTGTTACATTTGGAAAGCACTGGTGGTAGTAATGGGTTTCAGTGGTACATGATATTTAGCCTCACCCTCTACATAGATCTGGCTGTAAGGGATGGTCCACTCCTGAGTGCACTGCAGCAGGTCATACATCCGAGTCTCTGAAGGACGCATTGTGATCTGGCTGACCTGGTTTGCATAAAGGAAAAGTCAAATCTATTAACTTACTAAAATAAATTGTACTTTTCAAAATATAAGCAAGGAAGTCATTTACAGAAGCTTTTTGGAAATGTTCCCACATGCCGTGGAAGGTGAGACTTTTTCTTACCCATTGGTTGACTGGGTGGTACTGGCTGTGGTGAAGTGGTTGCTGGAAGTTGAGCATCCACATGGCTGTGCTGGCATTGATGCTGTGGTCATTGAATACGCAGTACACTGTTACATTCTCCCCCGGTCGTGCTACCACCTTCTCAGGGATGTAGCTAACCGCTGCACATACAGGACAAAAAAAATCATAGGATATGGTTTGGTTTTTAAAAAACATTTTGTAACAACTAGCATCTCTCTAATTCTTTTAACAATGCTCACAGAAATCAGATTTTTGCAAAAGTTTAAAACAAAGGACAAAAAAGTTAGATAACCAGTAAACAAACACCTGAATCATTCTCATTCATACACAATTTCAGTGTGGATTTTTACAAAAGAAAAAAAAACTTTCTCAAGGATTTAGAAAACTTATAAAATTTGTTGGGTGTGAGGGTGTGATGTCTGATACTGAGCTACCTCCTCCTCAGATGCAGCCAACAAAACAAAACAAGGACAAAAGAAGGAATGTGACTCATAAGCAAAACATCTGAAGAGCTCAACAAAAGAAAACTTTCTGCTAAATGACAATGTTGTTTCATGCCTCATCAGTGTTCACACTTTGTCAAAGCTGACACTCTGTACATGTGTCCTTATATAAGATGTTTGTATAGTTCGTATATATATTTTACTGTCATAACTTTTCATTTTATTTACTGTACTGTTATTGTAAAACTTCCTGCCATCACTGTAGCTTGTTGTGGTTGGTTGGTTGTTGAGCGTCACAATCTTTTAACCCCAATATAGACATGGTGTGATACACAGCACAAGAGCAGCCCACAGTAAATAACAGCAACACACACACACAAAGAGCAGCCCACAGTAAATAACAGCAACACACACACACACACACACACACACACACACACACACACACACACACACACACACACACATTTCTAAAAGCAGGTAGAGTAAACACACACTCCTGTGATGATTAAACACTTCCTGATACTACATTCAAATAGTCTGCTGTGCTGTTTAGAGCCCTGAGACTGTCGTTAACATTTTAATTAGCAGTCTGATTTTGAGAGCACAAAGTGACAACCAGCCACCATTAGCAGTTCACTGTCACTGGTGTTACACAGGGTCATTTGTAGTGCGCAAACAATCCAAAGTTTAAATTCTTAGTTTCATCATAAAAATTAGTGCATGAAACTGGACGGCTGCTTCACTTTGAGCTCCGTGAACAGATTTGCTGTGACCTGGAGTATGATTTGTCACTAACCATGAGATCGACCTCAGCTTCACAGTGCTATTGTTCAGGCATATTGAAATGACTTCTTCATTACTGGCTGAGGTTAATGACTTTGACTCATTTTTAATAGTTTAGCACTGACATGAATGCACGACCTGAGAGATAATTGAGGTCAGCATGTTTGAATCGATCTCACTGAGTCATGAGTCCTCATCAGCAGGACGTCTTAGAGAAAATGCAGTTGGTTTCAAAATGCTATCCAGGTAAGTAGGACTAGATTTACTGTAAATATTTTTGAAAAAATCTGTAGAGCGTATTGTATACAAAAGACTGCACAATGCCTTTAGCTATTTCATAATAATGTTCATATGTTTTTACTTTTATCTGCAACTGCTCAAAAATATCACCAAAACCACCAGCAAACGTTAATCTGTCAGTCAGTCAGGTAGGTAGTCCTCTAAAAATGGTTTGTTCTGAAACCAAACTGCAGGTTGTAAATATAATCTGATCAAACTTTTGAATAAACAAGAGTCAGTCTACAGTCACACCAGAGGATGTACTGTGGTACAGTGATGCTTGGAGCTAAATGCTAACTGATGCAGAAGAGGTATACAATTATCTTAGTTTAGCTAATCTGTACTTAAAGGGAAGTGACCAAAGTCATTATGATCCATCATCTGGTCACTGTGAGTATCAGTAAGAAATTTACTTTATAGTCAGATGAGCCAGGGAATCACAGATGTCCATACAAGCTGTGATGAGAATCCATCTGATAGTTGTCCTGATAAGTCTGGATGGCAGTGGTGGACCTGTCACAACTGCCATCCCTAGAGCCATGAATGACCAAAAATACAATCTCTATTTTGGTTAACTGCTGTCTTTTGAAGAGTGTGTTTCTACTACATTTATCTGTCTCTAACATAAACAGTTGGAAGGAAATGGTTCTTACTGTCCAAATAGATGTGGTGAGGTTCGCTCCAGTCGCTCCACAGTGGAGGCTCGTCCAAGCCGGAGCAGCGAACCTGGATGGTGTAGTTCAGCCTGGGCTTCAGATCCAAAGACAGTCTGGGCTCTCCAGTTGCAGACACCATCTGGAGACATCAGACAGGGAATCGGACTCGAGAAGGCATGTGTTTTCTCTGAGAATGAGGACTGAATCCAAATCTGTTGTCTCACCAAATCACAAAACTGGCCCAGAGCCATACAGTAACTGTACAATGTATGCAGATTCCAGCAAGTGAAACAAGTCGTCCTTTAACGAATTTTAACAAATAATCATCAGCTTTTTCAAGATCCTTTTTTTTTCATTTCTAGCTGTAACATTTTATTGTTCTGGCTTCCAAAATGTGAGGGTTTGCTGTTTTTTCCACCCTATAAATGATGTATTGTTTGCCTGTTCAGGGTTGTGTAGTATTTACCTGCCAGGCTGAATGAGAGGTGTTAGCAGAATATCGGACCTCATATCTCAGTGGACCTGTATCAAAGTCAGATGGGTCGTCCCAGTGTAAAATCAGTTCTGCTTCAATAGTCTGAATATGCGACAGGTTGACGGGGGGACTCGGTTTCTCTGTAGAAGAACAGATCATCTCAAGAATAGAAGCACATATGCAGATATGGTACCACATGTTCCACAGCAGTATCAATATGTATCAGATTATTACAACAATAATACCACTTTGTTACCGTTACTAGACCCTATGTAGTATTATAACAACCGCAAATCAAATGAGGTTATTACATTTTCCCGTATGGCTTAAAGTACAACATCTGAGGCTCTGTCTCTATTGGATTTTGATTCCCTCTGTAGTCTTGAAGCCATTCAATTCCAAATGTATGTTATTTCTTAGTATTTATAGTGGAATTATTTACTGTCTCTGAGAATATTTCACATAGCAGCACTGTACAACTGAAGGCAACATTATGCTTATCTTGCTGAAGTAAAGATCAATAGTCTTCTAGTTCTCATGCCAGGATTATCAATATTAAATAAATGAATCTATTACCTCTTGGGTGCAGTCTATGAAAAATATAAACAACATAATTTAATTTCTCTGCTTGGCATAAATGACAACCTCTTATCACCTTTCTGTGTTTACATATTGTATATATGAAGCTTAAATAGCAATGAGTGAATTCTGAATCAAATTGCATAGATAGAAATTTTAATATCACGTGAAATTTATGTGTATAGGGCCAACCATTTCCAGAGGATTTCAAAGGTGTGGAGCCAGACTTATATTTACTGTTCAATTACTAAAGTGAGACAAGCGCAGCAGCCTGGATAACAGCTGCTCCAGTTCAGTCAGTTATGACAAATACAGCCAGAGATAACTGAGTCTCTTAAAACCAAAAAGATGCCACATTGGGAAAGGAGAGCTTACTCATCGTTATTAGTAATAGCTCAGCTATCTCTATTTCAGACTGTATTCACATCCAAGAAACAAACTTTTTATACTCATCTGAAAGATTAATTTGACCATGTAACTAAAGGTGAAGCAACACTTATTACATTCCTAATATAAAAGCAAATGACTGTTCACACTGAGATCAGCCTGCACAGTGTTCAGTGTGCTCAGTGGTGGTGGTTGTCTGTTAATTCACCATGGCTTTTCATGATGCAAACCCATCAAAATGTAAATACATAAAGGCTGAAAAAACAGGACTCAACTTGTAGCCCCCAGCTAATTGACTGTCTCCATGGCAACATTACACTTCCTGCTTGTGTCCCCTACAGCATGCCAGGAACTGTAGTTTCACAACTCCCCAATTAAAAAAAAAAAAGAAAAGCAACATGAGTGACATGATCCATAGTAGTTTTTGCACTGTTAATTACAGCTGCAATAATTGCTCTGCCACTTACTCAATTAGCTGACCGAGAGAAAATAAAATCATTATTATTCTATCATGTACCAGAGTCAAATTCCTCATGTGCCCAACACACCTGGCCAATAAAGCTGATTCTGATTTTAATAATGAATTAATACTGTAATTCAAGTAAGCGAATCAAATACACGGATGGCTCCATCTTCTCTAATGTGAATATTTACTGCTTTATTTTGCCTCATATTTTAAAGTCAATATTTATTTAGTTTGATAAAAAACAAGTCATTTGGTGAAGTTACCATGACACCGTATTAAATTGAGTCAAGGTAAAGGATAAAACTGCTCCAATCTGGACAACATATAGTTACTACTCGGCTTCTGTTCTGCTCTGACAGTTTATTTGATCAAAGAGGTCTGGTTGAACAAACACAGCATGGAAAGTCCTTGTCGATCACTGTGGAGATCTCACAGCTCAGACGTGGTTGCACATACACACACACACTCAAGGCTGTGGCTCAGCCGCTTTCAGCTGTATTCTAGTCATGTCTGCCAATCACAACTGAACACAACTCTTTCTCCTTATCTGTCCAGATTCATCGTATTGAAGCTTGTCCCTGGAAAACACTTTTTGTTTTAAGCATTAAGCACCTCTTCATCATCTTCACACATGGCTGAATTTATTCTGGGGCTGTTACTGACTGTAATGGCAATAATTTGAGAACAGGTGACTGCTGGGGACATGCTTTTTTGATAACTTACTGTAATGCACATAAACAATTAAGCCTTTTATTCCAAAGAAAGATACATTTGAGTGTGGTCATACACTCAATCACTTTAAAATACCAGCATGTATATTAATTGTCTTAACATTTAAAAGCTTCAATTTTCCCAGAGGCCTTTCGGCTTCTGCTTGAGAGTCCTTCAAATGGCCTTTTTCTAATTAGGAAAACTTTATCAAAGGGGCTATAAGTTGTAACTAATAACTTAATTAATGGCTAATAAATAATTTCATAACACTTTACATTCATTATGAAATTGATAAGGACAGGTTTTAGGCAAAGGAACTCAGCTGATATTGTTTGTGTTGACAGAGTCTGCACATTGAGAATGAGGTGGACAGATGGGTTGACAAAACATAGAACTTTAACACTGTTCATTTCAATTAATCTAAACGTGTTTCTTTTAACCTTGACCACGATCTATAGCCAAAACCACATGTTTATTACTGTAACCATGACAACAAAGGTCCTCTAACCTTAAGGAAGCACTTATTTCGACCTCAACCCTGATTTTTCCTAAACTTAACACAGTTGTTTTTGTGCCTAAACCTAACTAAACATTCAACAAAGAACTGTCATAAATAGGTCAGTTATTTGTTTTTCAAATGCGATTTTTAACAGTTTAGCTGTGGCATACCTACTGCCACCGCTAGATGTGCTAATTCAGGAAACGCTCCTACGTGTCAGATGAGAGGGCAGGGACAAATGTTGTTCTTTTAAGATGGGGAATTTGTTAACAATTATTATCAACTGCAAAGCCTACAGTCCTTGGAGAGAACTGGCATTTCCCCCTCTTCAACAGTGAATTCCTCCTTTCTGATTATTAAAAGCTGATTCAAAATTGATGTATAAATAATTATGATGGTGATTATTAGATGTTTTAATTGAGTTCCTGTGGGAAGGCAACTGTGTTAGTAAGTATGAGATAAAAAAAAAAAAAATCACCCTTTCTTACCAGGTTGGCCAGGAATTCTCAGAAAAACTGGTGGACCTACAGCGTTGGAGATGCTGATGGTTACCATGGTAACAAAGCTTGTTGTAGTGTCAAGTGCAACTGAACACATGAAGGAGTCCTCTGCTTCACAAACAACAGGATTATCAGTAACAGTGTTCCTGTCATTTACCTTCGAGTCCTCTTTCTCAGACCTGGAAACAGATAAATCACTTTATTATCTCTGATCTCTTAATGTAGACAGTAAAATTATCCAAATTTTCAGTATTTATCAGTATCTAAATCATGTATTGTAATGAAAAAATAACATTTAATGTCCAAATAATAAGGAAACATGAAGACAGCCTGTTATAAGTTACTATGTTTTGTAGTATGTTGAATTATTATGAAGTGAGATAAAATTTTGCTTAACATGAAGTCAACTAAGACTACATCGACTTAGCTGACATCACGTTCATTCTCTTTGCCAATTTCATTTGACTTCAGAGTTTATATTATAGAGGTGCATTTCCATGCTGATTTAAACTGAACTGAACTCTTTATCCTTCAGCCTGGAACCGGAGCGATATCACACAGCTTCCACTCTGCTCATCAAAGTCAACACACATGCTTAACCCCACCCTGTGCAGTCGGGAAGGGTTGACATTAGACTCACAAACACAAACACGCACACACACACACAGTCATTCACACACTCGGTAAAAGTGTAACAGAAATGAAATGATAAGAGGGTGGAGCTTCATACTCACAGCATACGCTGTAAGCTGACCGCCAAAAGACCTGCACCCAGCACACCTGTCGGCTGACTGTGGGTCTGCAGATCGCAGGTTAGATTTTCCCAGCTTTCAATTCTGCATAGTATGTCCAAACAGGTACCTGGCAAGAAATTACATTTGCATTTTAGTAGCAGCGTCAGTGCCATCTGCAGATGTCACTTACACCACATGGCTGTGACCTGCTAATAAAGGTTTCAGAGAAAAACAGCTGGCTTAATGTTCTGAGAACACAGCCAATGAGTGAACTGTACTACAGCTACAAGCCAAAATATAGTACCAGGGTTCCTCCAGCCTAGTATTTTACTCTTGTAGAAAAAGGTTAGACTTCATTCTAGCACTTCATATTTGGAAAGAATCCATTGTTCCGAATCTGAACCCATTTATGTTTAAATTCAGGGTTTTGATATTACAAAAAATAATTACAATTAAGATGTGAGAAATAGTTCTGGAATAAGACTATAAGTGTACAGCAATGTTAGCTGCTCTACTAAGAGCATGAATGTCTATACTAAATGTTCATGGCAGTGTTGCTAATAGTTGTTGGATCGTGAACCAACAGATTGCCACTAAAAACCCTTAAACTGTTCTGGGTTTTCTTAGCCTTCATGCATACTAAATTACCTAGTTATCTATAACAGAAAATCTCTACAAACTTTTTACTTGGATAAAATTTACCACATATAGTTGGTCTGCCAAATTAAGCTCATATACTGTATACGTGGATATAAAGGAGAAAGTTTTGTATTTATGTAACATACCTTGTTTGCGTGAAAAAGGAGCTGAATCACATTCTTGACTGTCAAAAGGCTTCATAAAGCAATGAGAAGCAGCATTTAGCTTAGCTCTTTAATTATCACTGCTCTGAAATAAAGCTGCAAGGTCTCATCTAATCACCAGTGATTTGGATGCATCACAGCACCTCAAGGCTCAATGCAAACGCATTCTACTCACCTCCCTCGTGTCTCAGTATGGCCTCATCTCTGTCTTCACCACCACACTAACAACATCAACAGCATTTTATAAGTATGACTCACTTGAACTGGTCTCCCTTTGCTTTTTAAACTTAATAACCCTCTTAATTCTCTCTTTGCTATGAGACTGCCCTTTCTAATGGCACAAAAACAGCTGGTTTGATTTTGTCATGCTGACTGATGAAAGGAACAGGGAATCCTCATGAGCCGGGCTATTTTGTGAATCGATTGCAGCACAGGACTCACACAGTCGGCCACCCTGACAGGAGGCTGGGAGCAACACCAGATTAAAAGCCATTAAAGTGTATTGAGGCTGCCAGACTGATCTCTGGGGGCACCTCTATCACTGATGAGTGACGCAGCTCCAGGCAAAATACTAAGACTGTGGCGCAGTAACCCTGCTGGTTGTTCCAATGAGAAGGAGCAGCAGCATCATACTGCTACCCTGTTGCTACTTCAGCATTTCTTGTACGTAAGCACAATTATGCCTATGTCCCCTGCCTATAGTGCAAACAGTGCCCAGATTACAAGGGTTCAAACATGGTGCTTGTTCTGTTATGGCTGCTAGTGGAACTGGCACATTAGCAGTGATTGATGATCGCACTGCTGACAGAAGATGTTGGGAAGATGTAGCACAGATGCATGTGAATGCCCTGGATTAAAAAAAAAACTATCTATACACCAAGATGTTTGTTAAACTGTTTGATAGTCTGGCTCGTGATATTTGATATTGAGCAAACTGAGTGGATGAGTGACTGAGTCAGTTTTTTTTATGGTCACACTGCTTTAGTCAAAGAAAACTCATAACTTATCATCTGCACGTTATTGAGCTGTGGAACATTCTGAAGAAGCATGATGTTCATTTTAATAAGGCAATACATAGCTACAGAAGGGCTTTGTGAAAATACAGACATGGGATTGAAATTCATAACTTTCTATGCAATAACTGTTTCAACAGCTTTATAACCACAAACAGGAGTCTTGACAAGCCGAACAACATTTCTGTTCAAATGTGCACAGCATCACCATGGTAAATGTGTGACTTACCTTACAGAACAAGAATGATAGATATTATTAATTTGCTAAATAATTTCTTACCGCCAGAGGGCTCATAAGGATGTGATTGGGTTGTCGAGTTCCTGAAGATGCAGTGGGGAGAGTGTGGGAGGTCTGACTCGGAGCGGTTTGTCTCCGATGAGTGCATGCTGCCTCCCTCTACAGTGAGGTGGGCTGAAGGTGATTCACAGCATAGCTCATCCTGCCACGGGAGGGTCAGGACACCTGCCCGGATAGGGGCTCTCTGCTCAGGCTCCAAACACTGAGCCGCTGCTCACAAAGAGGCAAAGAATTTAATTCAGTTTACACACATAGAGAGAAAAAAATAATAATTTGTACTGTATTTATAATTACAAGTAGACAGTGGCAATGTAATGTTTCCCTTTATTTGACAAAATCTATATAAATGTCTTGCATGTCCATGTGCACAGTTTAAATGAAGACCATTTTGAGACAGTTTTTTGTATTTTTGTTTCTGTTCCCCAAAATGTTTCACAATATCAACGGTTCTTCCTGAGACATCTACTCTACAGTACATGTTTAATATTTTATAGTTAACAGCGTCTGACTGGCAATGGCAGGCTGTGCCTGTGTCGCAGAGACAAAAGTTAAAAAAATAGCACAAGTGGACCACAAAGTTCTTGTTAGTGAAAAACGGACGTTATTGATTTGGACTCAGTAACTACCTAAGTGATACGCAAGAGAAATCTGCCCACAATAACACAATAAATCCCAAGGACTCAAGTGTCAACACTGGTATGAAGCTCCTGTGTTCAGTACTGTTGGAGACTGGCAAAGAAGCTATAATATACAAGATTGTGTCATCTGTATAAAACAGGCATTTAAAATGTTGAGTAAATGTTGAATAATGAGAGAGCAGTGTTTAGGAAGAAATTAAACATTCAGTGGCGCATGCAATGCAGACATGAAGGATTCTAACATCCCTGACAAATGATTCCCAAATTAAGCTCTGATATAGTCCAAATACACTGCTTGTCTCATCTTACATTTAAGTATTGAGATTATTCAATAGCATCCCTTGGGACTAACTCAAGACACATTCTACTACTACTAGTAGTAGTAGCAGCAGCAAATTTTGAATCAGTCTGTTCTAAAGTAACCTCATCTGTTTACATAAAGGAAAACTGGAACATGCTGGAAGAAAACATGCTGCAAGCTAAGAGTGGACATCTGGTGTGTTGGACCATGAACTCACCATGGGACACCAGAAAAATATGCATCAGGACTGACAACATTACAGGCCGAATCCTGCAGGAAAACAGAGAAGATAAGCAATGAATGGATGGACAGAGATGGTGAAAGATAGGGTGGAGAGAAAACTATGAGAAAATAAAACAGAGAGCAACAGCGCAGATGAAGAGAGAAACTGAGTCAGTCGGGCATCAGGGAAGTTGACTGCTGCATGAACACAACGCAGGTGGAAATAAAGGGCTAAAGCCTTCAGTATTTAATGTTTTAATAGTATCTGTAGACATTTGTAAGATCCATCTGGTTGAGATGCAGAAATATGAAAATCAGGACTATCACCTCGACCTTCAATGTTCTGCCCTGAGTGATGTATTTGGAATTAGCTGAAAATGAGAGTGAACTCTGCAGGTTTTGCATGATTTAAAGGAATAACAATCAATGCTTACTAACATAAAATAAGTTATTATCTCTAAATAATAAGATGATTACAAATGAAAAGGTAACACAAGTGAGAGGCGTCTGTCTGTGAGAAACCCAGCAGGGCAGTAAAACAGTACAATGGAAGAACTGGTGGACCAACTTCTCTACAGATGTAATGACACATCTCTTGTGTCTCTATGTTTATGTCGTCCCCAGCTACATACAGGTTAGGGTCAGAATATTAGGAACACCTCTGAATATAATGTAGTCCAGTACAACACCACCTTTAACTATGATAAATAATCAATTTATACATTTACGACAATTTAACCAAACACTGAAACATTTTGAGCTTCAGAAACACAGATGTTAAGGTGGAAGCGTTGCATTGAATTGCATACAATTACATAGGTGTACATAATAAAGCAGCCAGTGAGTGTAAAGCTTGGTCAAGTTATGTTTCCTGGCAACAAACAAAGCAATTCCACTTCCACAGTTTCATGACTGACACGTTTATTATTCTGTTGTCTTATTGTAATAATATAATGGATTATAACATTGCAAAGCTGTTGAGCTAGCTGGACAATGTTCATGTTATTTGCAGAATGAAGAGTTCATTGGATGAGGGACACTGCCCACCATGATCAATCCAAACATCCATGCTTTCACTGTCAGTGAAGTCAGTTCAATAATACCATCTCAGTAATCCCACATTAGACTGTGATACTTACATTGTAGCAGTCAGAGCATGAGCATGGCCTGGCTGGGTTTTGGCTGGGGTGAATCTCACTAAGGAGATAAAGACAAAGAGACAAGAAGAAGGTTTTCAGAAGCTTCTTGTGGTGATAATACACATGAGCATTAAAAGCAGTGCTCCAGGTACAGTAAGTCTATTTTGAATATCTGCATTGTGATTGGAATAAATAAGGGTAACAGGGCTTAGAGCAAATGATACAAATTGCTTAAAAACCTTGGCAACAGTAGAACCAGACAGACTGCAAAGTGGCATGACAGCAAAGGATTTCCGAGGCACATACTATTTCAGAAGCAGATCTCACTGATAAAATACTTCACAGCTGCTGGACTATATCACTTCTTTGTTTTCTCTGCAGGTCATCAACCATATGTCTGATAGAATCAACCCACAGTTAGGTAACAATGTGCTATTTGATTATTTTTGTCTCTACTTGAAATCCTACCTTACATTCTCTTCTGGACATGTATGACCATAAAGGTCTGATCATTTCTTCTCAAAAACTATTTATTGTCTTATTGACTTATGTTATTATTCTGACTGACACTTTCTCTTCAGTATAAAGCTCTCCTCTGTTTGGTTTGGTGCTAAAAAAGAGCAGCGAGGCAACATATTACACAAATGGCCACATCTATTAATTCATTGATATGCTAGAGCAAGACAAACACAACATGCATGTACAAGCTGCATGTGTGTGTGTGTGTTCTTGCACTTACTATATAGTGAGGAGAAATGCTGAAAGAGATTTGAGACCTCACTTCAACCAATTATGCTGTATTATTGTAGTTATTGTATTCCATCTGGACATTATTTCACTTCCATTGGTTACAGTAACAAAGTGCTGGATCTCATTTACCAGTCACTTGGTTCTTGTAGCTGATTACCAGTGTTTATAGACAAGTTTTGCTTTTGCTGTTTCAATAAAAGCTCAAACAAATGTCAGTATTAGCCTCAGTCTGCAATGAAAGGTTTTACACCTGATTTTATATGCATGTTCAAGAAGAGTTAGCAGGATCCTGACTCCTTTATTTGCATAAAAACTTTTCAGCCTTTCTTGAGAGAAAACAGCCACGAGAAGGGTTGGATGAACTGAGGAAAGGCTCAAGAAGAGTACATCTAATCCAGGCTCATGATCTCTTGTAAGTGGATTACTGCAAAAATATGTTCAAATAATCAGACCATACTACTCTGAGGAAAGTTACAGTAGCCAAATAACACAATTTTTAAAAAGACAAATATTTGTTTAGATTTTGTTTGTTGATGTATCTTGAAGCCTTTGTTGTGCTAAAAGACCAGACTCCACTGACAGATCTGACAGCTGAGATGTCAGAACTTTGATGCTCACTGTCTAAGAGCTGCACACCATACAGCTCCACAACTCAGAGCTCATCTAAGACCCACTGTTTGTTCATCTAAATGCTGCATACTTTTTTTTTCCTCATCTTGTTTGGAACTAATTAACCTGGATCAAGGCATCTGGAACTATTTTCCATATGTGAGGAAAGCTCTGCCCCTCTGCTCCGCGTCTTCCAAGGAATCCAGCTATTCATCGCGAGTCATTCCTGCCAGACTGCGCACAGAGACGCGCTGGGGCTTGTTTCCCATCCATCATTAGCCACAGCAGCGCAGCAACAACATATGTCTGTCAAGTTTTCTTTTTTGATTCTAGATAATCAGCATAAACATGACGTTTCCCTTCCTGACAACTTGCCCAGAGTGAAACATCAACAAGAGAAAATGATAGATAATACGAGTGTGGGTCGGTTAGATCACAAAAAACCAACAAGAAATCGTTCTCAATAGAAATATTCAACATAAGAAATGCACAAGAGAATAAAAACTTTTAAAAATGTTAACTCACTGTCAGACAACAGGATACCATAGTTGGCACACAGCCGTCAGTGGCAGACAGAGGTATCGTGAAAGGACGCTAAATGCCAGAATGACAGGAGGGTGGAAAACAAATGTATCAACAAGAGTGCAAAACAGTCAGGCTGTCAGTTTGGCAGAAGTGGGCGAGTAATTCCCCACGTCTGTGTGAAACAGACAGGGGAGTGTGAAAGTTCACAAGACGAATATGATAACGAGTGTATATTAAGAAACGGTGAAGGTGAGAATGCGTAAAAATGAGACTGTCTTACTTCGTGGCTGTCGGTTTTTGCTGTTTTGCCAAAATCAGAGTTCACTCAGCTACGTTTAAATCCTCGCTAAAGATTTATGCGCCTCTGTCAGGGTGAACTGTTCATGGCTGAGACCAACAACGTTGAGGACGATTTCCCGACGCGCTGCTGCTGCTGCGTTCCTCGGCATAGAGAATAAAGGATGAAGAGTGGAGCTGAGAGATGGGAGCGCGGCACAGCCCACCGTGATGCGTTCAGGCGCAGCTCCGGAACTTCTACCATATAGGATAGCCAGTATACGGCCATTCATGGGACTGAAAACAAAGCAACCTGTTGTGCTGAGGAAAGTAGCTATACAGTATTTACTCACTCTATTTGAGCACATTTTGAGCATTTATTTTGTGATGCTTTATTGTTGACCAGTATCTTACTTTTTATATTTTGACAGCTTTATTTGTCAATTACATTGCAGATTTTTATTTAAAATATGCAGTAAATAATATAATAAGCCTATAGAACATGGTGCATATCTATAGATTAAAATGTTGCTTATACAGTAGGATAATGACTCAGCAACATTAATATCATACACTGACAGAGGGCATTCTGCTACAAGGAATACTTTACTTGTAATAGAGTGTTTCATATCACTGTATTGCTATTGTTACTTATAATAATAAAAGGGTCTGTGAAGTGTGAGTTACACAGTTTGAGAGATCACTTCTTGGCATAGGTGCTAGAAAATGCATAGTTTTAATAAACCCCTACACTGAGAAAGGCTTACTTTGTTACATAAGTAAAGATAGATAAAATAAAAATAGATAGCTACTGGTAAATATCACATCCCTGACAAGTTAAATATACAACAATAATTTGTATTTGGTAAAGATCTGGGACATGTTGTGGGGCTGTTGTGCAATGGGAGCCAACACACACACACACACACACACACAGAGAGAAATTATTTTTAGGGCTCCCAAAGATAACTCAGTGGTTTGCCACTACAATAGACAGACAGTGCATGTTCCTTGTACATGCAGTCACATTTTAAAAACAGATTTTACAAAACATGCTGGAACCTTAGCTTTCCATTTACCATCCTCACATCTGAGGATTGCCACGCCCACTTACCAAAATCTGTATGTGATGATAAGTAGACTACTTGTAACATCTTTGTGTCTTTATTAGCCTTATCCTAAAAAAAGAAACGAATCTCTGTCCAGATGTGGCTCCTTGGCCACCGAGCCAACTTACAATACTTTTCCATATGCTAGCAGTCTAGTCAATCTTTTATTAGACTGGAAAGTATGTCTGTGTCAATATTAACTATGCAGAACAAGGAATTCTGCATAAAAGACAGTAAAGAGTGAATGATTTGGTTGTTCTGGGTGGTGGGGCCTGAAATTTGTGTGCTAATTTTACAGTATAAGTGTTTTTCTGACAATTAAAATTTCCACATTGCACCAGTTGAATATACTGTATAAAACATGCTTTGTTACGCTAATACAGTCTGGTGTCCATACATTCAATCTCCAATACTGTGTTCTATGTTATACTGCCTGTAAACTGCAAACAGCCAAAGACGAACTAAGGTGAAAGAGAACTGAAATTTATTAAAAAAAAAACAGTTTGTGTCACTGAAAAGTATAGTTTTGTTAGTGCGTCTAAAGGAAATGTGGACATTTACTGAGACAAAGATAATGGGACAATACTCACGCGTGCCTAAAGCTTATTAGGCTTAGTATTTACTTGTGGGTTTGACCCTGCAACTAGCATTGAATGCGTAATTCTGGCATAATTTCTAAAAGGTTTCTACTTTCAACTGCATTTACTACTCTTTGCTTTTTGTGTTTTGCATGGTCTGTTACTGTAGCTCTCCTTTTATATACAGTTTTGCAGAAGCTTTGCTTGATAGTATTTAACGGGCACAGTGTGTACACAGTGTGTGTGTTTTATATTCTGCATTCATTATGTTGTGGGGGCAAAAATCTGTGTGCACATGAGGACTTACCTCATGGCTGGCAGATTCAGATCTAGTACATTCTAGCTGTGTGGCAACAGTGCAAACGAAAGAGCCATTATGCTGCCCAGGTTGGATTTAAGCCCAGGCTGAGGTTATGTTAAGGAAAATATGGTTAAGTACAATGTTCTTACAAGTATAGCAACTATAGTAGTACAGGTGTGTGTGTAAGGCAACAGAGGGAAGTGGTGCGTGGTGCCTGCAGACACTATCAAACTTCATGACGTAGAAAGGATGCATCATTGTGCATTTGCATAAATTAGCCCATGTGAAGGGGAGGAGATTCATTTGATAATTCATAATGGAGGTGCATCACTTCATTTTTATGGCCCACTCATCTTTATGGAGATGGACTTGGCTCATTGTTGTCTGCAGCCTGACATTACTGTATGCTGCAGTCTGGGGGGGCGAGTGGGAATGACCAGCATCTGGTTTCACAGAAATTCAAAATCCTTTGAGAAGATGGAAGAGAAAAGTGATGAGCTTATTTTCATCTTCTGTTACTTGTGTCAAGTGAATTCTTAGTCATATTAATTGTGAAAGGGTGGCATGGTGGTGCAGTGCTGTCATTTCATAGTAAGAAAGTTGCAGGTTTGAGCCCCAGCCTTTCTGTTTGGAGTTTGCATGTTCTCCCGGTGCCTGCGTGGGTTCTCTCCGGGTACTCTGGCCTCCTCCCACAGTCCAAAGACATGCAGCTTAGGTTGACTGGTGACTGAATTGCCCTTAGGAGTGAGTGTTTGTGGTTGTGTGTCTGCACATCAGCCCTGTGAGCCCTGTCCAGGGTGTACCCCACCTCTCACCCAATGTGAGCTGGGATTGGCTCCAGGCCCCCGTGACCTTCATTAGGATAAACGAGATAGATAATGGATGGATGGACAACTGATGTCTTTGTTTCCACAATAAATTAATTGTCTGCCGTATTAACTGGATAAGTATAAAAATGTTATTATGTGTAATGAGTTATTAACACTGATTTTGTAACTCCAGCCAACAAGAAGCCATGATTTCAAGTAGACTGAAAATAATACTATTATGGCAACAAAAGCTGATAGCAAATCCATTGTTACTTACATGCTACTTTGTTGACATAATTGCTTTAAAATAAACCCTGACCGCATGTTTTTTACAACACACTGAAAGCAGGCATTGATAAAAGACTGACCACTGATTTATAAATTTTAAATAATGATCCAATGAAAAAAGATTCAAACATTTGCACACTTCTCTTCTTTAACCTTCCATGTACTTAGATGATTTGTTGCAAAGGAAATAAGTTTCTCAAATCTTTTTTTTATTTGTTTTTATTTATTTATTTATTGCATCCAACGCTTTGTTTTTTAGTAATGTGTGGTAGCTTGAAAAATCCTCTTAATAAATAACACAGTGTACAAAGAACATAATGTTTTTAAAGCATCTGATGAAAATCACCACTGGGATGGGAGCTATTTTTAATAATGGAAAAATATGCAGACAGATGGTCTTACCCATATTTACAGTTAACTCATAAAGTTGACATACTTTGAATGCCTGAAAAAGACTTAAGAAAGCACAATGTGCTGCCAGAGCACAAGCATGACCTCTAGAACTTCTTCACTTTCCTATTACCTCTTTTCACAAATATTTCCCATTCCTTCACAGTCTGCATTGAAGCAGTAGACAAATATAATAATCACATCTGACTAGTACATTAAATTAATGTATGGCTCACTGAACAGACAGGGATGTGAAAGAGAGCGCGAGCAGGGGAAACATCCTAACAGTGGCCGCACCTATGAATTCAGACTGAGGAGATGACATCATTCTCTCCAGTGACATCATCCTAACCTGTGTGCAGGAATGACATCATCTTCTTGGTGTGTAGTCCTCACGAGAAGATTTCTGTGAGGTACAAAATAAATAAAAAAAAATCTTGTATATTTCCAACCTCAGCATTTAGTAGAAGCAAGTTTGGCTCTGTTAAATGTGGTGGTCTGCTATTGTTACATGTTAATCTTGATCCTTTTTGTCTTTTGCCCTTTAGAGTACCAGATGTTGATTTGGTCTGACAACCAGCCCTCTGCACCTGCAGTGTGACAACAGCTGTTGATTTCAAATGGGGAAGCTACTCATGAATAATTAATCTCTAAAAAGACTTGCAGGGGGGATTACATACCAAGGGGATGATGTCATACTTGCAGACTGGTTATAAAGATGTAATTTCTTTGATCGCTGCTGGATGGAATGTAATCTCATTTTACACAATGTTGGTTTAATATATTTCACTTCCATGCTTTTCTGAAAGAAAGGAAGTGAGGCCAGAGGAAGGGCCATTGTTAGAGACCATGCACCGCAGGAAACCACCTCACTGCCAGGAGCATGTGGTTTTAGTTATTCTCTTAAAGGGGAGTATTTATTTTTCCTTAAGTTGGGAAACTGGTGAGAAACATATTTTTAAAGTAAAAGGATGGTTAAAATAGAAGCAACAGAGATTTTAGCTCCTGGTCTGGGTTAACCACAAACACCGGATCCTTCCACCTCCTATAATGCAACTCAACAGTCTTTCATTACAAGCTCCATATAACACAGACATTCTGTTTAAACAAAACTCTAGCTGCTGTTAAACAAAACCATGAAACAATCTTGACAACACCACTGGCATTACTATTGGAGATATGAGAAATGTCCAGATTCAGAGAAGACGTGAGCTGTTCTCACAGGCTGAGGAGTACAACCTGTGACAAGTAAACTTATATTATGTGTAAGTGTTGGAGTGCCTTTTTGTGCCTGTACCTTTTCTAGATTTCACAGTTTTGACTTTATCTCTCTTAGTTTAAGGTTTAATTTAGCCAATAAGCCCACTGTTTGAAAACTCAAAAAGGTCATCCTCAGTTTCCTCTGGAAATATTGTATAAAAGAGGTAAATGACAGGAAAAGGCCAAGGTTCTGTGTGCAGAGCAAGTGGAGAAACATTGAACCGGTTGTGCACCTGATAGTTTGACACCCTACAAAGCCCAATGTGAATGTTTTTAATAGACTTTTAGAGTTTCTAATTCACAGAGTGAAGCGCAGCTGGTGCAGTATCACTTTCTCTACTAGGATGCCAAATCCTAGAATAAAATATTTTATGTAAATGCTCTTTGTCTCTAAATTTAAGTTGTACAAGCCCTTAGATCCTTAGACCCTGTGTTAGTGACCCTT